TCTAGAGCTGCATTCCTTGCATTCCTTGGCTCCTGGACCCTTCCTTGCTCCATTTTTGAAGCTAGCAGTGTAGCGTCTTCCTTCAGTTGTTCATGCAGGCTTCTATTTCTACAGTCAAATCTACCTCACCATCCCTCTGCTAAGGATCCATGTAATTATACAGAGTCCACTCAGATAATCCAGAATAATCTCATAGCAAGATCCCTAACTTAATCATACCCACGAAGTTCCTTTTGTCATATAAGGTAACATTCATAAATCCTGCAGATTAGGACATGGATATCTTTGGGGACCATGTTTTTAGCCTACCATAATGTCTATGATTTATCTCATCTCCTTTAGATGTATGAATTTTCCCTCTCTTTTCTCTGCCTAACAAAGTACCTAGCACATAGCAGACATAGAATATATGCTGTGCTATAAGTGACTCCTGCACTACTAGTCAGGGTTGATTTATTAAGGTTTTACTACTGTAACAAATAACTCTCCAAATGTTAATTCAGCAAAAGTATATTTCTCACTTATATCACAGTCCAATGCTTTTCAGGAAGCTTTCCTTGATAGCTCTCCTTCAAACAAGATTTAAGGCCATTCAATCTTTTAAAAGCTGCCATCTTAAAAGAAGTGGCCTCCAAAGGGGAATATTTGTTGCATGAATTTGTGCAAAATGCAGACTTAACAGAAGGAATTAGGAGATAGGGGAGCATCCGAGTAAAGGTGAGAGTGTACCATTCATAAGCTCCTCCCAGGTTGGACCTTTGCAGAAATTGCAAACACAGTTACACATGCCTGTGTACGCATACACACATACTCCTTCAAAAGCCTCATATGTATTATCTTGGAGTTAGTAATTGTTATCTATCAACTTGTATCATTTCTCTTCCCTAATAGCATGAATAACTGAGTTTAGTCATGTATTAATTTGCACACATTAAAATTACAGGTCAATGAAGAAATTGACTTACCTGAAAATTGGCAGCCCAGAGAGAAAGTTTTAGTCAAGGATTAAAACATTTTGTAAGTAATTTGAAAACAACACAAAACACATTTGCCAAATTCAAAAGTAATTAACTACAAGACATCATTGAAGTCAGGGAACATTAATAATAAAATTATAAATTAAAATGTTAATTAAGTTTTAAAAGTAATCATTACATTATTCTGAATTTGCAAAACCAATTCAGTAGGGAGAGATTAATAATCAGTTTATACAAGTATTTATTTACCCGTTTTCCTTTAACTAGGCATCTCCTCTAGTACATTCAAAATTATCCAATTTAGAAAGAATTCACTTATAAATTAAGCTTACAAAATGTAAAATGGTTGTGTTAAAACACTCTCTTCAGAATTTTATTTTTAAGAGGTACTACTCTAGTATAATTTCAAATTTATAACTAAAAGCTTTTATAAAAGATATCAGTATTTTTAAAGTTATAGGTCCAAAGAATATTAATATTAATTAGGGTTGGCTAAATTGCTATAAATAAGCAAAATAAAAAATTTTATGGTGCAAATAGAATAGCAGTTTTCTCTCATGTAAAAGTCTAAGATTAGCAGGTCCAGGTTACATGATCCAGTCGTTTAGGGACCCAACCTGAAGGTGGACCTATCAATTCAGTACATGGCTTCCAGAGGTGTCTCTGGTTATCAATATTCCAGGCTACAGGAAAGGAGGATAGAGTGGAATACCAGGGCAAGTCATTTCCTTGTAAACAGTTTAGGTGAAATTGCCTCTTACATCCCTTAGTAAGACCTTAGTCTTCTGACTACACACAGCTGGAACAGGGACTGGGAAATGCAGTTCCTATTTGGGCAGCCCAGTCCCAACTGCAACCCTGTTATATTGTAAGAGGAAGAGAACAGATTCTAATGAACAGCTGGTAGTGTCTGCCATCCTTCCGGCTACTAAAATTCTGTGTTCAAACTTCTCCTTTTATGCTCATTCCCACCTCCAAGAAAGACAACCCCAAATCCCATCCAGCTACTGCACCCAGCTCAAATTCTGGGATCTCTGGGTGACATGCAATCGTCTCTTTCAGATTCAGATGTGGCTCCTTGTGGTCTAGTGACTTGTTAACTGAAAGAACACCCTTTTTGCCTTCTCCAACAACCAGTAAACCACGGTGTAATTGAAACAGGATCACTGTATATGAGATGTCCTGTTCTTACGTATCCCTTGGCCCTTCCACTACCACAGGTCTTGGCAAGCTAATTTTTCTGAAATCTCAAAGTCGATATATTTAGGTAATTGAAAAAAGAACACTGCTTTTTTGTTTCCCCCTAGGCGAAGGTAGCATTAGACAGAAAGAAAGATATTTGGTAACAAAAGGCATTCTATTTGCTGGTAATGTGTGAGGACACTAGTTAAAGGTTTTCTGGAGCAAAGTGAGGAGAATCCAGAGCAAAGTTAAACAGCAGCTTTTTTTTTTTTTTTTGATAATTACCTTTTTTGTTAATTTAGGAATTTATTTTTTAATTGAAACATTGATTTTCCATACTTATGGGGTACAGAGTTATATTTTAATATATGTAATATACAATGTGTAATGATCAAATCAGGGTAGTTAGCAAATTCATCATAGCAAAAAATTATCATTTCTTGTGATGAGAACATTTGACTCCTCTCTTCTAGCTATTTGAGAACATACAATAAATGATTGTTAATTATAGATGCCTAGCACTACTGCCACCACTAGAACTTATTTTTCCTATCTAGCTGTAATTTTGTCTTCATTAACCAACCTCTCCCTTTCTCCCCTCCCCCTCTCCCTCCCAGCCTTGAGCAACCACATTTTACTCTCTACTTCTAAAAGTTCGACTTATTTTTATTTTTTTAGCTCCCACATGTAAGTGAGAACATGTGGCATTTATTTTTGTGTGTCTGGCCTTTTTTTAAAAAAATAAGATCTATTTGATTAGGTCATCTTGATGTGGCCATTGAGAGATTAGTGACTTTTTCATAAATGACTGTTTTGACAGAATCACATCAAAAAGTAAAAACACTCTCTTTTTTTTATTACTGAGAAATATATGAAAAACTCCATCCTATTCTTCTTCTCCATTCTCCCATTAGGCAAAGTCGATGCCATGTGTTTCTTGCTGTGTGTATGTGTGTGTTTACTATATTCTCATAATTCAGACCGTATATTGGGCTGAAATCTTCCTGATGGAGCCAAATGATTACCGAAGTCAAAGGCCTATTTTTAAACATATTTTAAAGTAGTTGAAATAAGGCAAGCTATAGCTCAACGGTAAGCAGTTCACATAAAATGCAGGAGTGTAAAGAGAGGAGTTAGGAAAAAGGAAAGGATGCAGTAGAGAGATGAGAAATGGGAGAAGGAACTTGTGGCTAAATAAGAAGAAAAAATATCCCCATGCAGGAGCAGTGCAATAGTTTGAGAGCCTATGCTTGAAGCCAGACTGCCTAGTTTGCAATTCTGCCTTTCCACTTACTCGATGTGTGATCTTCAGAGGCTTACTTAGCTTCTCTGTGCCTCTACTTTCCAATTGCAAACTGGAGGTAATCATAGTACTTGCCTCATGGAGTTGCTGAGAGGATTACCTGGGTTGATTTCCATTAAATCTTTTGAACCATACAGGGTACAGCCTTGAGAAATGATAATCATTGGCCAATAATACATACTTTTAGGGTGAGGCCAGGAAGTCGAAAGCCAAAGTTGACACTGGCTGGCGCTGAACCATCTTGAGCCATGTTGACTCAGGAAGCAGAAGAGGGTGAACAATGACGATGCCATCAGCCACGATCCATGCCTCCTACAATCTTTTACACCTGTCAAAACAGAACCATGGGCTGGATGGGCCCCAATTCCCACCTGGTGTGTGAAATTGTATATTTCTTACATTGGTGGCTCTACATGATTTTATACTTGAAAATTTTAAGTTACATTTTAGAAGCGGATATTTTGTATTTTTAACCACTCATATTAGAGAAGGCACTTTTAAAAAGTATTTTTATTTTATTAAAATTATCTATTTATGTTTTGGCCTTCCTGTAAGCTATAAGCTCCTCTAAGTAGGAAACATAATCCATTGCTCACGGTACCCCAGCACTCAGCTCAGTGCATGGGGATTTTAGAGTCAATTTCTACCAGTGGTGTGGAACCAAAGATCCCCTCTGTGAGGTGGGGAGGTGGAGGTGGAAGAGGGGAGGGATCACCTGTTTTAACAGATCTCCCGAAAGATGGGTTTTCCCCACTTAAGCGTTTGGAGCAAGGCTTGCTTTGGGATTGCCGACAGTTTCCCTTCACTAGCAGGAGTTTGTCACTTTAAGGCAAAAACCAGGAAGTTAAAAGTGGATGCGGAGAGGCGGGGTGGGATGGAGATAGAGGGTCGTCCCGTCTCCAGAGAGCGCAGTCGAGAGTGCGGGCGACTACAAGTCAAAGTCGGACAAGTTGTAGGACTAGTTTTTCCTGCCCAAAGCAGATTCGGCCCAGGTGGGATGGAGATAGAGGGTCGTCCCGTCTCCAGAGAGCGCAGTCGAGAGTGCGGGCGACTACAGGTCAAAGTCGGACAAGTTGTAGGACTAGTTTTTCCTGCCCAAAGCAGATTCGGCCCAGGTTTTATTCCGGTGAAGAGTGCAAGAATGGGTGCCGATGAGTGGGCAGAGTGTTGGCCGAAAGGAGGTGGAGCGGAGCAGCCCTTCCCCATTGGCTGTTGCTGTTGTGTATTGTTGGTTTATATTTCTTTGAAAACAGCCTATAGTCAGAGAAGCCTCCAGGATCGTAACTGAAGGATCCGCCGGGTGTTTCAAGAAGGGCAGCGAGGTCCGGTGCCACAGCAGAGCGTTCTCAACTTTGGGTCTTGCAGGCGTAGGGCTCCCCGCCCCACCCAGAGCGATTCCCTAGGGCTAAGAGGACAGCCGAATCTGGCTTCCCCAAAGGCACCTCTTGTTAACAGCGTTTATTTGGATGCCACGGCCAAGGTCTTCCTTGAAAACTTTTGACCGATGTGTGCTTTCTCTCTTGTTATCCTTTCTTTAGGACAAGTGACATTGACTTAGCCAGGTGAAGATCTCTGGAGACCATGACCAAGCAAAGAATTGCTGTGATTGGGGGAGGAGTGTGCGGGCTCACGTCTATCAAGTGCTGCCTAGATGAAGGCTTGGAACCTGTCTGCTTTGAAAGGACTAATGACATCGGAGGGCTCTGGAGGTTTCAGGTAAATCTCCTGGTCCCTCAGTACTTGAAGCCCTCCCTGCAGCTAGGTGCATGATACATTTTATCTCGTGTCAGGGAATATGATGAGCTTGACAATAATTAAACCTGCTAGAATTCAGCCTGTTGACCTCTTCTCTGCTTCAGGTTTTACGCAGGTTCCTCTTTCCCTAGGCCGGTAGCAAAAAGGGACATGGATATCACTTGTTTTTCCTTTTCTGTTGTCTATGAAAACGGCACAGACACCATTTTCATTTAATGACTTCAGTAGCTGTCAAGAAGAGGGAAACAACCTGGGGGGTAGGAAAATAATGAACGGTAGAAAACATTCAAGAATTAGAAAATATAGGTAAATAAGTTAGAATTGTCTCCTTACAACTCCTTCCAGGAGTCCCCCTCTTCAGTCTTCTCTAACCTTATTATTTTTTTTTTTCATATTTTTTTGAATTCTGGTTCACATTAGGTAATTCTTGACAATCCTAGTCCTTGGATAGAATATTAAATCTGGCCGTCTTGTTTGCTTTGAACGTTTCCTTCCTCTGAGAGGTTCAAAGTCCTATCCTTGGAATAGGGCAGAGGGCACCTGTAACTGAGTTTTCTTGTCCTTGCATATACTCAGTTTTAACATGCACATCCAGCCCTTCAATTTGTTAGTAACAGTATTACAATATCATCTAAGCTGTTTCATCATAATGCTCTGACTTCTGTTGGGACAGGCCACACCTGTGTGGTTTACCATTATATTTCTAGTGCCAAGCATGATGCCTGGCACATATTAGGTGCCCAACATATTTGTGTTCAATAAATGAATCCCTGAGAAGCAGATTGTCTTGAGTGGCTGCTTAGAATGGTTATGGAGCTAGAGATCTTCATTCTCACATTTTCCACAGTTATACACTTGTGGAGCCTGAGGTACTATAAACATCAATTCATTTCAGATTAAATATGTTTTACATACTGATGGTGGTTTCCTCGAGAATTTTCTCTAAGATATGCTTCTCTACCACCCTCTTGCTTGTCATTTGGAGTCCTGCTCTCCCCCTGCCCCAAACTTTTTTATAATTCATTGGAGGTTTCAGATATAGGATTGGTCCAAGCACTTTGGAGTTCCACCATTGCTGCCAGGTGTCCAGAAAGACACTGAGGACTCCAGGGCTTCCATTTTTTCTTTATTGTGACAGGTCCCTGGTGTTTAATATATTTTCTTTTCTTCTCAGATACCACCTCTTGTATTTTTCTATCTCTATCCCTCTTTCTTTCTTCCACTTGCCAAACAGGAATTAGAATTTGCCACTTGCCTCCTTGATTTTGCTGAGTACTTTCTAATGATAATTATATGTTAAGTTTTCAAGACATTAATTTCAATCAGTTCTTGATCTCCTCACTAACATTAGACTTATGGTAGAAAGTAGGTGCTAATGTGATTCTTTTTTTTTTTTTGTGGCTGGCTGGTATAGGGATTGGACCCTGGACCTTGTGTTATCAGCACCACACTCTAACCAATTGAGCTAACCAGCCAGCCTCCATTTTGATTTTCATACGCTAATAAATAAAATAGCTTGAAAGAATGACAAATTCCTTATACAGTGCTGAGGATTTAATAAGTATTTAATGCTGGAAAATAATTTTTAATATTGTTTAGTCAAACTGGGTTTTTTAAATCCTTAAAGCATACCAAAGCAGTGCTTCTCAAACTTTAATGTGCACATGAAACACTGGAGATTTTGCTAAAATGTGCATTCTGATTCATTAATCTGGGTAGTACTAAGATTCTGCATTTCTAACAAGCCCCCAGGTAATGTTGATGCTGCTGCTGATCTGATAGCTACATTCATGTAGTAAAGTTCTAAAGTATGTATATAATATTTAAAAAGACACCATATGTATACAATGTAATGTAAAATCTGACATATTTAATAAATGTTTATTTAAAATATAAAACTAAATAATAAACACCCTTAGGTGAATAGTTTTTTAAAATCCATACATTATATAAATCTTCCCCCAAAAAATAGCAAGAGAAGAATCAGATGAGTGGAAGGACTTGACAGTTTTCTTTGACAGAAGATAATACTTTGTTTTGTTAGTGACTTGAAAAAGAATAGAAATATGTGAGTATTGTCACAGAGGTAAGATCCGTGTTTTATTTCACTCAGTGACCTCAACAGACTTGCTGTGGAAAGTGTGGTTCTACTCCTTGTACTAAACTTTGAACCTTGAAAGACAGAAACGGACTTGTATTTTTTAGCACCTAATATAGTATTTTATTAGAGAGACTTTGGAAATATCTGTTGAATAAATGAATGAGTAAAATAAAATTCCAAAGGTAGGAATATGCCTCCCCCACAAACATCTTAATTCCAAAATGACCTCACCATTTATTAATTTATTTTAATTTTTTTGAAAAAGTAATTATGTACAAACAACATGTTAACTGAACTTAATTTTAGAACAGTTTTAGATTTACAGAAAGTTCCTGTATACTGTACATCCAGTTCCCCTATTACTAACATATTAGTATGATACATTTTTCATAATTAATAAACCAATATTGATACATTATTATTAACTGAAGTCCATACTTCATTCAGATTTACTCAGTTTTTCCTAATTGCCTTTTTCTGTTCCAGGATCCCATCTAGGATACCATATTACATTTAACAGTCGTGTCTCCTTAGGCTCCTCTTGGCTGTGACAGTTCTTTAGACTTTACTTGTTTTTGATATCTTTGACAATTTTGAGGATTACTGGTCAAGTATTTTGTAGAATATTCCACAAGTGCAATTTGTCTGATGTTTCTCTCATAGTTAGACTGAAGTTATGGATTTTGGGGAGAAAGACTGTAGAGGTAAAGTGCCATTCCAATTACATCATATCAAGGGTACATACTGTTAGTACAACTTATCACTATTGATGTTAATTAACCTTGATATCCTGGCTTGAAGTGGTGTTTGTCAGGTTTTGCCACTGTAAAGTTGCTCTTTTTTTCTTCCTTCCCTTACTATACTCTTCGTAAGAAAGTCATTGTGCACAGCTCACACTTAAGGACAAAGCTGGCTATTCTATGTGTTCTGTTTTTCCATACAAACTTTAGAATCAGTTTGTTAATGTCTATAAAATAGTGTCCTGGAGTGTTGATTGGGATTGCTTTGCATCTATAGATCAAGTTGGGAAGAACTGACATCTTAACAATATTGAATCTTCCAATCTGTAAACACAGAATATCTCTCTATTTATTTAAACCTTTGATTTTCTTCACCTATGTTTTGTAGTTTATGCATATGAGTCCTATACATATTTTTTAGATTTGTACCTAAGTTTTTAATTTGGGGGGTGTTATTGTAAAAGTATTTTTAAATTTCAAATTCCAATTGTTCATTTCTGGTGTATAGGGAAGCAACTGACTTTTGTATATTAACCTTGTATCCTGCAACCCTGCTGTATTCACTTATTAGTTCCAGGATTTCTTTGTATATTAAATATTTATATATTTATTCTTTGGGATTTTCTATATAAAGAATCATGTTGTTTGCAAATAAAAATTGTTTTATTTATTTCTTCCCTATCTGTATACCCTTTATTTCCTTTTCTTGTCTTATTGCACTAGTTAGGACTTCTAGTACAATATTGATAGGAGTGGTAAGAGAAAATATCCTTACCTTGTTCCTAATCTTAGGGGAAAAGCATCTAGTTTCTCACTATTAAGTATGATGTTAGCTGTAGGTATTTTGTAGATGTTCTTTATCAAACTGGGGAAGTTTCTCTCCATTCCTAGTTTGCTAAGAGTTTTCATCAGGAAGGGGTGTTGTACAAACAACATTTTAACAAAAATAAAAGAAAAAATAAAAATATTACCTCCTTACTAAATCAACTGGTTTTCCCCATTTTCCAGTTTTATCTATTTAAAATAAAGCATCCTAAAAAGAGATACATCTAACAGGGGAGAGATTATACAATGTATAATTATATAAACATGAGTAAACAAGGGTATACAATTGTCCCATGCATATCTGATATTATATATTTGGTGATTACATGTGAATGTAATTTTGTAATATTAATTCTTCACTTAGAATTACATCAGAGGCCATTTGTAATATTCCTATGTAGTCTTTAAAGTCATATTTTTTGTTGTCTCCAAATTCATTCTTGATAATTCATTAATTCATTTCAAAGCATATACTGAACATCCACTTTATTTCAGGTGCTGTGTTGATAATAGAGACATGAGGAAGAATAATACATATACCCTGCTCCCAGGTCCCTCACAGTCATGGAAACAAATGTATAACAATATCATGTGTTTAAGTTGCCTTTATGGCAAAATGAACAGAGAGTTTTGGGAACTTAGAGGATGAGTAGGGCATCTAATATGTGGGGAAAACAGGGAAGTCTTCTCCAAAGAAGTGACATTTGATGTGACTCTTGAATGACAGGAATTTTCCAGATGAAGAAATAGTTATATGTGCAAAGGATAAAAGTTGTGAAAGAGCTTAGAATGTTTTGGAAACAACTTAATAACAAAGAAACTTGAGATTTATTAAGGAGATCACTAAGTGATGATTAAAAGGTAGGTTGGGCTAGAGTATGAAATGTGTGAAATTTCAAATAAGACACTTAGTTTTCCAGATGGAATCAGGAGAAGCCATTCAACAATGGAGTGATGGGACTTGCTTTGTATTTAGTAGGACACCTATGGGGTGGTGTGGAATATAAATTCTGCATCATGTTGAAATACTATAACTTATTAAACCACTCATCTATTTTGGAGACATTTTAAGTTGTTTCTAATTAATTTCTATTTTAAATAATACAAAAATGGATATCTTTATGCATTTGGTTTTTCTATGATTTTGCAATTCTCCTTAGAACAAATTTTTGGAAATGAGATGGATATATCTTATCCAACTCTTCGAAATAAACTTTGATGTTTCATTACTTTGTTATGCATTATGTGAAATTTACTTCTCATTCTATACATGCCTTTCTCAATACTATTTGACATACTCTATTAAACATTAATATTAAACTGAGTGCTATTTATAATTTTAGGTGCTGTGTGGAAAACCATGAGTACAACTTAAGGGGAATACAATCTAGTTGGGGAGATAAGGAGCATACTACAAGACATTATGAAGATCTTTGAATCCTAAGCTGACAAATGGGAACTTTATGTTAAATGGGGCAGAGATATAGTCACAGCTGTACCTTAGAGCATTTTGGTTGTAACAGGTAGGATAGATTAGAAGAAACTTGAAAGGAGATTTGTGGAAACATTAATAGTCAAAAGAAATGAGATATTGGATTGTGGGGCAGAGAAATTGGAATGATCAATGTAGGATTCCTAGACTGAATAATTCTTCAACAGAAATGGAAGAAAAGCAATCCCAAATGTGGACAAAGCTGATGCTCTCCTTTGAGGACACAGTGTTTTGTAATGCCCATATTCCAATATCTGTTCACCTCTGGAATAAAAAGGGAGGAGGGGGTCCAAATTGTTTAAGGTGATTTTCCATAATCAAAACAATTGGAAAAAATCTAAGAGATTTGAAAACTCATCATTTGTGACATCTCAGTGACAGAATAATAGGTTGAGTAGATATTGTATTATTTTATGTGATCACCACAACAACTCCATGAGGTAGTTATTAGGAAGATTTCGAGGAAGCAAAGAAGTTTGTTGTAGGGGAAAGAACACTGACTTGGGGGTTTAAGTCATCTAAAGCAATGCTTCTTCTCAGTTTTAGTGTTTTCTGAATCACTTGAGCATTTTGCTAAAATGCAGGTTCTGATTCAGTAAGTCTGGAGTGGGGCCTGAGATTCTGCATTTCTAACAATCTCCCAGTTGATGCCCCTGCTGCTGATCTACAGATCACACTTTGGATAGCAAAGATCTAGAGCAGTGGTTCTCAAATTTCAATGAATTTTGTTAGGCATTTAGCTTGCTTCCTTTTTATATTATGAATAATGTTGGCACTAACATTCTTTAACAAATCTTTGTCTGCAATGGTGAATATTTCTTTAAAAGCTGGGAAAGTTTCAAGGGCTCTCAAACTGTGACATTGCTCTCCAGAAAATGTTGTACTAACCTATTCTCTTGAAACTTACCTAGCCTTTTAAATATTTAAAAGACTATTACTCTGCTGGGCAGTTCTCACATGGAATCTCATGTGATTGCAATCAATTCACAACTGAGAGTGAACATCTGATATGGCCTATTTGTTCACACATTTAGAACTTTAGCTGGGGTTCCTAGAATTTCTGGGGGCTGGCTGCACATCTTTCTATCCCAGACATTCTCTTAGCATGATTAGGTTGGGCTTTCTCACAGTGTGGTGGTCTCGGGGTAGTTGGGCTTCTTACATGGCTGCTGGCTTCTACCAGAGTGAGCTTTGTGAGACACGGGCAGAAGCTGCAAGGCCTTAGTCTTGGAAGTCACTCAGTGTCATTTCAACTTTATGCTGTTGATCAGAAGCAAGTCATAAAAATAACTCAGATTCAAGGGGAAGTGACTACACAGGGTCGCAAACATTGGGACATGTGGAGGTGTGTCTGTGTGTGTGTGTGTGTGTGTGTGTGTGTGTAATTTGTTTTAATGGGCATGTATTTCAGAAAATGTCTTCAAATGCTTATTGGCTATTTATAACTTATGAAGTTAATTCTCAAGTTGCTATGAATGCTTCTTATTTGCTGCAGGAAAATCCTGAAGAAGGAAGGGCCAGTATTTACAAATCAGTGATCATCAATACTTCTAAGGAGATGATGTGCTTCAGTGACTACCCCATCCCAGATCATTATCCTAACTTCATGCACAACTCCCAGGTCATGGAGTATTTCAGGATGTATGCCAAAGAATTTGATCTTCTGAAGTATATTCAATTCAAGGTAGGGAATTTTGTGGGCATCTTTGTGTTTGAAGTTGTTTGTCAAGTAAATGAATAATATGGCTTCATTTGCTGGTGCTTACATCTAAGGATTGGCTGGATATGTATTTATATCTATCCTATCCAGGCAAAGACTCCATTCTTTGTCCTCTCTTACCTAAAAAATACTTATGGCGAAGTCTCTCTTTCATATATTTTGTCTGCAGACACAGGAATCCACCGCCAGAGTGTTTTCTTTGCCTTTATTTACACTATTGATTGCAATAAAACAGATGAGGTAAAATGTTTTCCCAGTTATAGAATGGACTGATAGGTACAGGAACTTTAAAACCTTCTGGTTGCACAACTTGTCCACTACTGCTTAGTCTTTTCATACTTTCTTAATTTCCAATATGTTGTTTTATGTGATCACAATAACTCTGTGAAGTAGTCATTGGGAAATTACTGAGGAAGTAAAGGAGCTAACTGGTGTACAGGGAAGAACATTGAATTGGGGAACAAAAACCTGAATTCTGGTCCTTTCTCTACCACTAATTAACTTGTGACCTTAGACAAGTAAGTTCCCCAACTTCAATTTCTCTTAATTTCCTTGTTTGTAAAATTAGATGATTGTATTAGATTACTTCAATACTTCCTTCTTACTCTAAAGTCTTCTATGATTTTTCTATAGTTTCTAACAGTAGCTATAAAGTAATAGATGTTTCTGACAGCTGGCAAAAAGCCCTAATTTTCCACCTTCTGATCATTCTGCTAAATTATGCCTTTTTCTGCTTAATCACAACAATAAAATGATAACATTTGGTAACAATTTTCAAAGTAAGTCATTTACAGCCCAGTGGTGCTTCTCTTCACTTGTTTAAACAACACTTAACAATTTTCTTACTGTACTAAGCAGTGAAGATGCAAAGACAAAAAAAAAATCAATAACTTCACAGTCTAACATTACAGAATAATGAAGAAAATTTTTATTATAAATATAATTAATAAATAAAATGAATTACAGGGTGATAAGTGCTATAGAGATCTATACATTGATACATTGCAGCTCAGAGGAGGATGTTTAACCCATCAGGACAAGAGGCATCAGTTTCCAGGGAGGTTTTCTTAGAAGAGATAATGTTCAAGCTGAGTCTTGAAGGCTGAGTAGGAGTCTGCCAAATGAGGAAGGAATAAAAGGGTGATCCTGGCAAAGGTACCAGCCAGTGTCAAAGTAAGAACATGATAGAGAGGAACTATAAACAGTGTGGGATGGCTAAGGTGTACAGGGGTGGTGTCTGTATTAGTCCATCAAGATGTTATGGTCATAGGCCTAGAAGCATATAGAAATATATTCTTGGTGTTTCCTTAGACTGGGTAAAGTAAACCATATTTATTATTTATTTATTTTTTTAAAAAGCTAAAAATTATACCATTGACTATCTCATCTCACAGCCTCATTCTTTATAGTTACTTGCAAATGGGCATTTATAGGATCCAAGGAGAGATTCATTTAAATAAAATGAAAGCCACTGAGATGTTTTTCTACTGTACCAGAAAAGGGAGCCCTATAGCTCAGTCACATGTTTAGGGCTAGCCAGTGAGAACAGGACTTTGGGTAGAAGACACCAGAGGGCTTGAGATGTGTACAGGTCAGGCGAGGAATAGGCATTTAGTGCATGGAGTGTCATAGAAGCACAGGAGAAGCCCAAGCTTCTCAGATATTGCAATATGTTAGGGCATGGACCAAGAGACCTAGTAATTTGCACTTTTCTAGAAGCAGAGAAGGTACAACATTAGCCTTCCAGCTCTGTTTTATTTTTATTTTATTCAGTTGTCTCATATGAGTTTTCTCATTTTGACCATAGCCCCAAACAAAACAGTTCTTATTTGTAGAGTATGAAAATCAAATATCACTGCATGGACTCTATTGTGTGATGGGGCCTGTGATATGAGCCCTTTGTGAAACATTCTGCAAGGAGAGTCATGTCAGGGAAGATGCTCACTGTATAGACTGTGGATACAGTCCCCCATGGCTATTACTTTCCTTTTCAGACCACTGTGTGCAGTGTGAAGAAGCGGCCTGATTTCTCTACTTCAGGCCAATGGGAGGTAGTCACTGAGTGTGAAGGGAAGAAGGAGGTGGGTGTCTTCAATGGAGTCATGGTTTGCACCGGCCATCACACCAATGCTTACCTACCCCTGGATAGTTTCCCTGGTGAGTAACCTACTGGGAAAGAAGACCCTTGAGCCATGTTTGTAACCTAACCTCTGGGAAATGAGAGTCTGAGCGATTTCTACTTTGGGATGAAATAAGGCTTACCCAATTCTTCATGTTCCTCCTGAAACATTTTGGGGTAACTTGTAACATTGCCATTTTAGGGGTAGAGATAATGGTAACTTTGGAGATTAGAGGAAGATTAGAGGTCTATTTAATTTTATAATCACTTCAGTTTTTCTAAGGATCAAAAGAAATAATGTGGAGTTCTTGATCAGCATTAGGTTGAATGAGGAATTTTCCAGCAATCAAGGAAATTGAAATATTGGGTTTCTAAGGAAGAAATGAAAGCTGGAAGAATTTAATTTCAGTCTTTGGCCTGAATTTTCACTTTGAAAAATAAATGATACCATGTATATACTCTAGACTATTTAAAAACACATATACTCTAATTGAAATGAGAGTAGGCATTTAAGGGGATGAAAAGACAAACGAGAATGGAGGTTTTCTGAGGCAGTTTGGATTTGTGAGTCTACAAATCCAAAATACAAATAGATCCTAAGTTAAGCAAACTACTTATGATAAGGAAATCACAAGGTTCTGCTCTGAGGCTATGGGAAAAGAAAATTGGCAGAAATATTCAGAAAGGCAAGAGACTATCTAAGTAAAGGAAGACCATATGTAGAATATACACTTAAACTTTAAACTCTGCAAAGACACCAAGTGATTTGACAAATTATATCCATTATATAAACCATCACCCAATAATTATTTTCCCTTCTCTTTCAGGGATCGAGAAGTTCAAAGGACAGTACTTGCACAGTCGAGACTATAAGAACCCAGAGGGATTCACTGGAAAGAGAGTCATTATAATTGGCATTGGGAATTCTGGAGGGGACCTGGCTGTAGAGATTAGCCACACAGCCAAGCAGGTTTGAATCAGTAAATTATTTTCTTTGCTTCACTCTAGCTTCATCCTTATCCAGGAGCTGCAGGTGGACCCAGCAGAAAGTATGGATGTTTGCACATAGCCCATCAGTGCCCTTGGCAAACGTTTCATTGCCTCAGTTTGACAACATTATGATTGATGCTAATGGAGAAGCCACAGTTACTAGTTAGGGCTCCTTAGCATGAGGCTAAGGAATGAGTTCCTGACCACAGACTGTGCTCATAATCCCAATCAGCCATTTTCTCAGAGTGTGCCTCTGGCTTTGATCAAGACCTAGAACAGTTGACCCTTGAACAATATAGTTTTGAACCTTAAGGGAACCCGCATAAACAGAGGGCCACCTTTGTGTATGCATGGGTTTCATAGGGCCAACTACTTAAGAACTTAAGCACTTAGCTGCTTAAGTTACTTAACTACTTAAGTAGTGATGTGGGGAAAGTTATACCTAGATTTTCAACTGCATGGGAAGTAGGTGCCCCTACTTTCCCCTCCCCTCCCCCTCTAGGTTGTTCAAGGGTCAACTGTAATTGCTGGGAGAGGTTGTTCCAATGCAGTATTCAGAGCGTGCATTTTCTGTTGCCCAGCAGAAGTGCCATGTTCCTATGTAACAGAAAGCACGCTGTGGTTATTGAAAATTTTCATTCATAGGATGGTGGGTGAATTTTCCTTCTCACTCCCCAAATGGAAAAAAGAAGCAATCTGATCTCTCCAAGGACAACATGGATATCAGTATAAAAAGCATCCACACTGTGGCACATGCAAGCATCTTGCCCCAGCCTTTGCGTACAGTTAGGTAGCACGGAGTGGCATTTGCTCTAAAGCAATTTATCTCTTTGGCTTTTCATTTTGTTTGTTTTGGTTTTTGTATCATAGATTTTCACCTGGCAGGGAAGTATCTTCACTATAAATTCTGAAAAAAGACATATTATTATATTTTATTATTCCTGTCTTCATTGAATCATAACTTTATTGGCAATAGGTAGAAGCCTGGTTGTTCTTCAGTAACTTTAATTAAGCTGTGCTTCTCCACAATATGCTTCAAATTATTACTGTCTTTTTAAATGGAAGTGTGATGCTACAACTTTGTTAAATGACCCTTAAACTTTTTGCTTTATACATTACATTGTATTTATAAGAAGTTTTTTGTAAATCAGCATTTTTAAATGGACTTATAAATTTCAGTGTATTAAGGAAATTTTGGTATAATTCTTGTGGTATAATGCTTTTGTGAAAAGAAAACATCCCTTTCTTACAAGATTAATTTCATACGAGATTATATTGGTTACACAATCTTCCTTAATTTTTTTCTTATAAATCCAGATTTTAAATATGTTTGCTTAAAACAAGGTATAGATGGAAAACTGAAATAAGAAATATGACAGCCATTAAACATTTCTTAAGTGTTTATTATACACCACACCTTTTACAAAAACACTATTTATTTATTTATTTATTTATTTATTTATTTTTTTGGTCTTTTTTTTTTTCCGTGTCCGGCAACGGATCGCAACCCTCAGTGTTGCCCCCGTACCGG